TGCGGGCGGGCGGGCGGGCGGGCGGGCGTGCGTGCGTGCGTGCGTGCGTGCGTGCCTACGTGCGTGCGTGGGTGCGTGCGTGCGTGCGCGCGTGTATGTGTGTGTGTGTGTGTGTGCGTGCGTGCGTGCGTGGGTGCGTGCGTGCGTGCGTGCGTGCGTGTGTGTGTGTGTGTGTGAGTGCGTGTGTGTGTGTGTCCGTGCGCATGTGCATGAGTATGCTCATATGTGTTGGTGCATGCGTATGAGAGGAGAAAGAAACAACTGAGGTTCGGGAGGTGCCGCGGGTGCGGCGTGGGTAGGGAAGGAAACAAGAGTCCCATTTACGATGCGGAGAGCACTGTTTATCTCGAGGCCCCGAAGGGGCGGTTTTGTAAGAATCAGGGGGCCTGTTAAAAAAGCCCCGACAATGCTTTGTTCTGGAAGTAACCAGTGTTTTATCTCGTCTTATCAGAAGGCCGCTCCTACGTCACACACTGTAATCGCGACGTCGTTGTTTTACATCATACGCGCTAATGGCTCCGTGAGGCGGATCTGGAAGAAAACCACCAGGTGTGACACAAATCAATCCGCCCAAGGCTCAGGCCCAGATCCTCCGACGACTCGGAATTTGGAATCTAGCGCCCCTGTATTTCCCGACCTCTTCCCGGGGCCGGCTGCTTCTCCCGAACCGCTCCCTGACAACCCCGCGCTGCCCGAGGAGCGGCCGCTAGAGGCCGCGACGGCCGAGAACCCTCCTGGCTGGACCGCTCACCTTCCGAGCCCCCCCGGGAGTCTGGGCGCCGACGCTGCGAAGGGGCGCGCGCTGCCTCGGCGGCCAGGCGCGAGAGGCCCCCCCGCATCATGCCGCCGCTCCGGGCGCGTGCCGCCTGGCCGCCTGGAGCCGCCGGTGCAGCGGAAGGGCCAGGGACGCGGCTGGGAACCGAGCTCGCCCCCCCTCCCCCTCTGCTCCCGCCTCCCCTCCCGGCTCTCTCGTCCTGGCTCTGCTGTGCCCGGGCTCGCGCTCGCCAGTCGCTTTGCCGGCTCGAACCACCTGCGGGCGCGGCCCCTGCTCTTTCCAAAATGCCGCCCACTTTTCCCCAAGTCATTGTCAGCGACGGCCGCGGCTCCAGCCCAGGTTTCTGGCGAGAGTCCCTCCTCCTCTGATTGTTTTCTCTTTTCTCGGGGAGGGGGAGCCATCTCCCTCCCCCGCCCCCCCTTCCCACCCTCCGACCTCATTCCCCCCACGGTCTCCCTCCCTCCCTCCTTCCCATATGCAGGCCCCACTTTGTTCGCCCCATCCTCCCCTCGCCCTCGTCATCCCAATGTTTCTTTCTCGTCGCCCCTCGCCCCACCCTCCCCCGTCCTCTTTCTCCCACCCCATGGGCCGCCGTGGATGGAGGATAGAAACGAGGGGGGAATGAGGACGAAGGACGGGCGAGGAGGGGCGAGGGGCGAGGAACGAGCGAACGGAACTAGGGGCGGGAAACCGGCGGCGAGGAAAGCGCCCACGCCGCGCCGCGGCCCCCCGCCATTTCCGTTGAATGTTCTGGCGGTGCCAGCTCGCGCCCCCCCCGCTCCAAGCGCGCACCCCTCGCGGGTGCGCTCGGGGCGCCGGCGCCTGGTGCATGCAGATTGTCGGGGGCAGCCCAAACCGCAGGGAAAACGGGGTTCGCCAAGCAGTGGGGGGGGGGGCCTCCAGGGGGAGGGGCCTCCAGGGGGAGGGGGAACAGACATATGAAAAGGGAGGAGGAGGAAAGGGTGGCGGAGGACCGAAAAAGAGGAGGAGGAGGAGGAGAAGGAGGACGAAGAGTTGAGCAGGAACCGACCGTCCCGGCATTCCTATCGTCCTACCACGAAAGGTTCGTAGAATCCGAAACTGTTTTTTTAATAACAAAAACAATGTTCTTATACCATAAAGCCGATGTGCTAAAACGAGGCAGTGCAAGCCAAAAGCGTTCGAAGAACATTTCGTCGAAAGCACGGAAGGTTCTTAGAACATTGCTTGGTCAGGCTACGAGCGAGCCGGGACGCGTCGCCACTGTTTGAAAGGAGGAGGCCGGGGAAAAGGTGGCGGAGGAGGACAGGGAGGGAGGTGGAGGTGGAGGTGGAGGTGGAGGTGGAGGAGGAAGAGGAGGAGGAGAAGGAGGACGAATAGGACGAGGAGGGAAAGGAGGAGGAGGAGGAGGAGGAGGAGAAGGAGGAAGAGGAGGAAGAGGAACTATAATTGCGGGGGCCTGGGATTCGGACGAAAGAAAGCAGTGCGGCAATGAGAAGTAATCAGCGGGATTGTCAGGCCATCCAAATATGTTTCGCGCGCGCCGGCGTTTAAGCTAAACGGCGACAGAGCATCCGATGTTAATCGAGATTTCGCAGGCAATCGAACTGTGGCGGGGTGCGCAGGAACGGAGGAAAGGGAGCCAGAGCTTAGGGCGGCACTGAAGAAGCTCGCGCGAGTAGGAGTCGCGCCCGTTCGGCCAGGCCGCTTCTGCGTTTGTTTAGATGACCCCTGGGCCGCGGACGACAAGGTCGTAAAAGCTTTCGCAAAACCAAGGCGCGGCGGCTGGCCCCAGGCTCGCGTGGGAAAGCGGGATTGAGGCGCGACGCCGCCCTGACCGGGCAGGATGGAGAAGGTGAGGGATGGACAGTGACCGCGAGGGATGCGCAACTCCTTTTTGCATCATCGCCTCTGGCTCACCAGCTAAGTAGTCCTGAGGGCTGGGAGCCGCTGCGGCTTCGCTGCGTCCTCACATCCTCGCTGGGCGTGCCTGGGGTGGCACTGTCTGGCGAGATCTTGCGGTCATCGTCGTCGACTGCTGCTCGCTCCGCGGCGGCAGCCGCTCGCGGACCCTAAGCCTTTTCGCCCCCGCGGCGCGCCATCTCTTCGGGCTTGTCGCCGTCGGGCACGCTCTGTTCCTTGATGTTGTCATTGCCCTTGCACTTGCCTGCAGCGATCGCTGCGTGTCCGCATGGGCCGATCGGCAACGCGCTGCTGGTGCGCTGCCAGAACGGACGTGGTAGAGGTGGTCGCCATCCTGAGCCGCGGGAAACTCTGCTCCTGCATCCCATCTCCCGGCCCCTCTGCTGCTCGGGCGGATGCGACGGGGGCCTTGGCGCGGAGTGGCGCGGGGGCGCGGCCGGCGCGCGCTTGGCCTGCGGCGGCGGGGGGGGGGGCGACGACCTCGGAGCAGGCCTGCGAGGGGGGCTCTCGCTGGCGGGCAGCCCCGTGCCCCATGGCAGCTTCGCCCGCGGGAAGGAACGGACCCCGGTCGCCCGGGCGGGCCCGCGCGCGAGGGGCCAGACATCGCGGGCGGGCGGCGACGACGGGGCGACGGAGGGCGGCTGCGAGAGCGAGCGGCGCGGCCCGAGCCCTTAGATGTCCTCGCGGCACCAGCTGTTCCGCAACGCGCCCCTGGCCGCGCGCCTGGATTGCGCCCTCCAGGTGCGAGAGAGCTTCCAGCGGCGGCGGCGGCATTCCTGGCAGCCTTTCTACAATGGGCGGCTGCGACTGCAGACGGCGAGGCGGGCGGGTTGCAGGCCGAGCGCGTTCGCGACGCGATGGGCCGCCCCCGCGCGCCACGGGCGCTTCATCTGGGGATGCCGCTTCCGTTGGGGACGCCGACGGGCCCTTCCTCGGCTGCCGCGGCGGAGGCAGCGGAGGCGGAGGCGGCGTTTCCCTCGGCGCGTGGCCGGCGTGCGCGGCAACGGGCGGCCGCCAACGCGCGGCGGCGCGCGGCGGGGGGCCGCGCGCGGGCCCGCCGTCGCGCGAGCTATAGGCAGCGGGGCCCCGCGCGATGCGGCCAGCCGGCGAGCGGGTCTGCTCGCGAGAGTGACGGCGGCAAAACCATATGCCCCTTCTCTGGCTATCCTGGCTGACCTCAAGTTTCTCGCGAGCGCGCGCGCGTGATCGGCATGCTTCTGCGCCATCGCTGCGCCGACGAAGTCGCGCTGCAACATGCGCCCCGACCACGGCTCGCGCGGCGGCGAACCTCCTGCATGCGACGAGGATGGGGAAGGACACGTGGTCTTGGGAGATGGAGCACGAACAGTCAGCAGACCGGCACTCCTCTGCTCAGGCGACGCCCGGCGCTTCAGGCCTGACAGCGCAGTGAGCTTGCCAGCCGCGTTGAAGGCGACAATGCGCGACGTGCGTGGCCGCTGGCGAGAGCCGCCAGATACGTCGTGGAGGCCGGATATGTCGATGCTGCCCTCGGCAAACCCGCTCGCGACCGCATCTAGCGCGCCCCCCCGGCGCAGGGCCCATAAATGGCCCGAACACAGGCCGCGGAGCTAGAACACGCACAACGAACATCATGCCAGAGTCTTGGTCTGGTAGCCGTCGCGGCTGTGACCGCGCCCGTGAAATCCAAACAGAAATGCGCGTGCTGTGCGAAGGGCATCTGGCCGTCTCGTTGGCGACGTGCCGCTCCGGGACCAAGCGGGCCCGTGAACGCCGCGTTGAATGCGGCGCCCAGAGCAAGGCCGTGATCCATCAAACTGCTCGCGGCCATCAGCTCACTTGCGAAGGTGCGTCGCGTCGCCGTCTTGACAGAGCTGCGCTGCCAATCCAATCGGCGATGTGCTTGTCGACCAGCGAATGCCTTCTGGGCGCCAGCGCGCGCGGCGCACGCGCGCAAGAAGGCAGCTCCTGGGAGCGCCCGCCTAGATTCGGCGCCTTCTTCTTGCCCCCTTCTCAACGCTGCGTCGGCGTGCGCGCCCAATTTGCCTGCGCAGCGGATGGGTGGATAGTGGATTCCCCACGGCGCGGCCTGGGTCCATCTAACAAAAATGCCGTAGTTGCGCACGCGGCCGCGCGTCGGAGCAGCCGGTGCTATTCCGCAGACGCGCAGATCGATGCTAGCGACGTGGGTGAAGGCCGTGGCCATGGCCCGATCGAGGCTAGCTAAAAGCTGGGCTTGCCATCGAGCTGGGCAGTTCCGATTGCTCTCGGGGCCTGGGTGAAATAGATTTTGCCCAGCTCGCATCCACCGTCGCCCGCGGGTGAGTGGCGCGCCCCGCGAGATGAAGGCCCCCTTGCTGATGACCAGCTCACCCTTGCAAAATGCACCCTCTAAACACTTGCGCAGCTTCGCCTTCTGCCGGGGCAAGCCTACTACTACTTACACATCGCCCACGTGCGGGATGGCTTGGTGCATGTGGTTTAGGGATGGGCCAGCATCTCGGTGCGTCTTCTCACCCGGCGCCTGGTTGCTCCACGTGGAGGACCGCTGGCGCCGGGTCGAAATTGCCACATGCCCCGTTGCCGCCAACAGGGCTGCGCGCTCCTCCTGGGCCGCGGCTTCCGAGCGTCTCCCTAGTAGCTGACTCCTTCTTCAGGCAAGATGCCGTTGCTTCCCGCGGGCCGATCATCCACCCTCGGCGGGCTGCCTCGGGTCAGCGTCGACGCGCTGAAGCCACGGGGCGTCAGGCTCGAGCAGGTGATCTGCACTTTCTGCGCAGGGTCTGTCTTCGGTCACTTCCACTTGCCAAGCCGCCGGCAGTCGAGGATGTCGCGCTTTCCTCGGAGCGTGCACCGCGAGAAGCAGCTGCGATCCACCCATGCTTGCACATCCTCCAGCACCACGGCTACAAATGACGTGCTCCCGGAACTCTTCCGGGGCGAATAGATCGGAGCCGCCCTCGATCACGGCTTCCTTGGTTCCTGCCGCGTGGACCAGGAGGCGCGCGCACTGTCCGCCAGGGAAAGGATGGTCTTGAACAAATTTGCGCGTTTCGCCCGGGGCCAACATGTCGACGCAATCAGATCGGTGGAAATTTCGCGCGGTAGTGAACGTGAGGGAGCTCATTGAGGTTCGATCCCCAATTCCTCATAAAACGGAACAGAACAGCGCATCCTGCATGACTGTCTGTTTGTAGCGTGACAGGGAGGCCCGCCGCGCGGCGTCGATCAAGCGTTGGTCGCGCAAAGAGTGCCCGCGGGATCCCTCAGCGATGGAGGACAAAGCCCCTTCGCCATGAGAGGTCGTCTGGGCGCGTGCCGGCTTCCAGCGGATTGGCGCTGCTTCGCCTGACGTCTGCCACGTGGACCTCGTCCCCCCCGAGATCTCCGCAGCAGCGTCCAGCTACCTTACCTGAGTATGAACACGAGGTAACACATCTTGCTGCGGTCGGGGCCGAGAAGCTCAACGAGCCTCCATCTACCTGCAGCAGAACTACACCAAGTCTTTACTTCGCGGCGGCCTGGCTTCCCACAGGACCAAGAATGATCCATCGATATTTTCTGCGGGCGCGATGCTGTTTTGGCTGCGGCCTACCTGGATGACCGCAACAACGCTGCAGGTGAAGACGTTCCTGGCCGGGTACTCGAGACCGAGTGCCACCTGGCGCCGGGTTGCGGCGATGCTCGAAGCCGCGCGGGTATCGGCATGGCCGAAACGTTGAAGCGTCTTCGCAAATAGGCTTGCGAGTTGCGCGCTACTCCGGCTGAGTCACCTGGGAGCCTGGCGCTGCGCGGTGCGGCTCCTCTGTAAAATCTGAAAACTACCTGCGAACGCAAAATCGGAAAGAAACTCGGTCATGCTGACTGGTAAGCAGTGGCGCCGCAGCTGCTTGCCAACGCATCGCATTTCGCGCCAAAGCATGGCGCCGCGCCGATCGATGTTTCGCGCGTGCTGATGGGGCTC